CAGGGGTCACCACGGGTGACAGGTTTTAAATAAATGTGCGGCACACGGCCGTTTAACCGAACGATATTTATAACTGAAAAGCGTCCGTGCGAGGACCACATTATGTCATCGAGATCAAAGGCTGCTGGAAAGCGAGATATCTCCCCCGCCAAGTGACTGCCAAGATACTGCACATGCAGCAATGTGGTTCTTATTATTTGATAAGCTTCCCATATTTTAAAAGGTATTTTAATAGCGTGGAGCTATTCCTTTCAAGGCAGCATGCTAACTCTCGAATGACACGTCCGCGGACATTTCTTTGCCGGACCATTAGGGGGTGCTGTATTATTGTTGCGCAATGGCATTTTATCGCTGGGGCCGCCGTCGTCTGCCGCGACGCTGGAGCTTTTCCCTCTTGTTTTCCATTCGCTCACTCCTCTGTTATTCATTACATTAGCATCCCTTTCCGTTTACTCGTTGATTTATTTCAAAGTCGCCCGTTTATTTTTCGCCGTCTCGGGAGCATGTGGATTTTTCGGCCAATGGAATGCCAGCTGTCAGCGGGGTCCTCCTCATTGCCTAATTCTGCGTCGCCTAATTACTTCATCGTGTCTCGTACGTGCGAACGGGCCTGGCCAGATGCGGAGGGCGCGTGGCAGCACGAACCGCCGGACGTGAGGCCAATACCTGCGCTTTCCCACCTTTGCAGTGAGGACCATCCGCAGATCGGCCACCCCGATTCTTCTTACGGTGCAGGAAATCAGCATAAAGGATCGTTGTTCGCTATAGGTTCTGGAGACCGCAAGCCGAACCGCACCGTAAGGGTTTCGCAGGAGGCGTTTGGATCATTTACCGACATCAGACGTTGTTTGTCGGATGAATTATTGGGTTGCTACTCTGGTATGTGCTTTGTGGTAATTACAAAGGCCCTTAGCCACCCCCGCTAACTGCTACGCAGTAAGCTGGCTCGAAGCAGGCGCACCACCCTACAGTGACTCTTTTGTTTTCTGGAGATGGAGGGTGGTGGGACTGGAGCAGAGAGTATACATTCCCACTGACAGAACCTGCAGAATGTGCCAGTCTCCTCTGACAGGCTGCTTTTATGAAGCCAAGCAAAGGCTATGGACCTGCGGGTACTGGGAGTATTCGAAGGTTAATCTGGAGTATGTATTTACCATGATGCTAAATGTGTTTCTCGTGGAAAAAAAAAAATCACATTCATCTCCGAGCGCCTTGTCGTCACTGGGCGGTTTCATGGGAATTTGGGAGCCTTTGATGTGCGATGGACCAAATGTAGAAAACTGAACGCTGATGCAGTTTCAGCCTCCCATGGGCTCATTTGATTTTGGAAAGTCAATCATTTACTCCCTGTTTTTACACAAAGCGCCGTAATTTACTGTAAAACCATGATGCTCAGTCCCATTATTCTGCAATT